TAAAACAAAACCCTGAATTTTAAAAAGGGGGTCCAGGGGAGTTATTGATAAGCTGAGCAGGACTCAAAGGAATAGACTTCCTGCTCCTGATACCCACTTGGCCCCAAGACTATCATGTTCTATCACACAATAGGCCAGCACTCTGGGTGACAGTAAATATTGAGCAGGACAGCATTCCTAAAACTTGATTCATCCTAAGCATCACTTTGGCATGTGAAATAATAGAAAATATATATATTGTTCCCTGCCCCTGGCTCCTGACACTGAACTCCTAATAAGCCCCCTGGAATTTCCTGGGTGAGAAGTACCTTTTGTTCTAACGAAGCAATTCTTGGTGGGGTCCTGGATTGTTTCAGGATGGGGGCTGCTCACCAGAAAGAGCAAGCCATAATTAGAAGCTTAGCACTTGTGGCCCCACCCCCTAGGAAGGGGAAAGAAAGCTAGAGATTGAATCACCGATCAGTCCTGTCTGCAGGACAAGCCTCCGTAAAAATCCCACAAGCTCACAGAGCTTCCAGGTTGGTGAACATATCCGGTGCTTTGAGAGAGTGGTGCACCCCAACACAGTGGGGACAGGAACTCCTGCACTGGGGACACTTCCAGACCTTGTCCCATGGGTCTTTTCATCTGGCTGTCCACCTATATCCTCTATCATATCCTTGATAAAATTAGTGAATGTAAGTGTTTCTCTGAGTTCTGTGAGCTGTTCTAGCAAGGGGTGGAACCTGAGAAGGGAATCATATAGCCAGTATATAGCCAGTCTCTCTGAAGTGCAGGTGACAACCTGGGGTTTGCAATTGGCTTCTGAAGTAGGGGTGGTCGTATGGAACTAAGCCCTTAACCTGTGGAGTCAGCACTATCTCCAGGTAGGTAGTGTCAGAATTTCGTTAAGTTGTAGGACTTCAGGCTGGTGTCAAAGAATTGCTTGGTGGGGAAGACCCACACACGTAGTGTCCAAAGTGAAGTGAAGTGTGATATTAGTAGGAGAGTAAAGGAAAAAACTAGGAGGGTTTCTCCTCTTTGCAGGGCACTTATTAAAATGACTGATTTCGGAACAGAAATTCCACATTAGACGTTCAATAAATATTTATTGAATGAATTAATGAATTTTTGCCCCAGACAGGAACCTCGGGATCTTGCACTGCTTACAAAGACCTGGTACATGAACCTAGCCAACATCAAGTTGCCTTTCTTCGACGAAATTACATTTGGTAGTCCTTTTTACCTCCAAAAAGATAAAACCACTAAGAGTGCTCTGCTCTCTTCTGCAGAATGTAAGCTCTGTAAGAACTACTTTAATAAATAGCAAATGTTATCTTAAAAAAGTAAATAAATAAAACAACTGATTTCCAGGCCTTCTGCTGGAGAGGCTGAGTCAGCAGATCCCTGGTTCGCACCACTGTACACTTGGAGTAGGCAGGTTTGGCCCCCGCAGCAAGAGCGGAAACTCATCTGCCCACGGGCAGAATCCTGGCTTCTGCCGTAGATTGAATTCATCAGAATTAAAATAATGCCGGACATGTATTAAGTTTACTATGTGCTGGGTGCTGTACTAAGAGCTATAAATGTATTTTCTCATTTAATCCTCCAACAGCCTCAACAAGAAGGTACCTCCATTTTACCTATCTCTACAGATTAGAAAACCAAGACTGTGGGAGCTGACAGCAGTTGGTTAAAGTCACAGAGCTGGTAAGTGGCAATACCAGGCCTCAACAGAAACGTTTTGTTAGAGGAGCCAGAGGTTGGGGGTCGAGTTCCCAGCTCTGCCATCACTGGGGGACCTGAACCACATGCATGCAGTGGAGCTTAGTTCCAGTCCACTGGAGTCCGTGTGAGACATTAGCACATTTGCCATTCAGATGAACAGGTGCTGATAGAAATGTCATTAAGAACTTAGTTTTCGGATATGACACCAAAAGCACAGGCAATAAAAGCAAAAATACACCAGTGGGACTACATCAAAGTGAAAAGCTTCTGCAGAGCAAAGGAAACCAGCAACAGCATGAAAAGCCTACCTACCTACCTACAGAATAAAAGACTTTACAAACTGCATATCTGATGAGAGGTTATATGCATCATGTAAGAAGAAACTTCTGCAGTTCAACAGCAAAAAACTGAAAAAATTAAAATAATGCAATTTTGAGACGGGCAAAGGACTTAAAATAGACATTTCTCCAAAGAAGATATACAGGTAGCCAACAGGTATATTGCAAGATGGCCAACATCGCAAATCATCAAGGAAATGCAAATCAAAACCACATCTGTTAGAATGGCCATTATAAAATTTAAGAAAAGAAAATAACAAGGGGCACCTGGGTGGCTCAGTGAGTTAAGCATCTGACTTCGGCTCAAGTCATGATCTCACAGTTCGTGAGTTCAAGCCCACGTCAGGCTCTGTGCTGACAGCTCAGAGCCTGGAGCCTGCTTCAAATTCTGTGCCTCCCTCTCTCTGCCCCTCCCTTGCTGCACTCTGTCTCTCTGTCTCTCATAAATAGATCAAACATTTTTTAAAAATGTTTCTTTTAAAAAAAGAAAGTAACGAGTGTTGGTGAGGATGTGGAGAAATTGGAACCCTCACGCACTGTTGGTGGGAATGTAAAATGGTACAACTGCTATGGAAAATAGCATGGAGTTTCCTCAAAAAATTAACACTAGAGCAGCTATATAATCCAGGAATCCACTTCTGGACATTTACCCAAAAGAACTGAAAGCAGGAAATTTGCATTCCCATGATCATGACGGCATCATTCACACTAGCTAAGGACGGGACATAACCAAAATGTGGACTGACAAGTGAATGGATAAAGAAAATGTATATACACACAATGAAAAATTATGCAGCCTTTTTAAAAAAGAGGAAAATCCTGTCATATGCTACAGCATGGAAGAACCCTGAGAACATTAAGCTAAGGGAACTAAGCCAGTCACAGAAGGACACATACTATATGATTTCGCTTAAAGGAGCTACCTGGAATAGTCAAATTTACAGAAATGGAAAGTGGAATGGTGGTTGCCAGGAGCCGGAGGGTTGGGGAAGTGGGGAGCTCCTGTTCAAGGAATGCACAGTTCCATTCATGCACGATGAAAGAGATCTAGAGATATGCTATACAACCGTGTGCATATAGGTAAGGTGCACTATAAAATTTTAAAGGATAGATTTTATGCGACGTATTTTTGACCATAATTTTTTCAACTAGTTTTTTTTTTAACTGAGTTGAATCCTCAGCTTTTTTTTTTTTAAGTTTATTTATTTTTGAGACAGAGAAAGAGACAGAGCATGAATAGGGGAAGGGGCAGAGAGAGAGGGAGACACAGAATCAGAAGCAGGCTCCAGGCTCTGAGCCATCAGCCCAGAGCCGGCGGGCTCAAATCCCGGACCACGAGATCGTGACCTGAGCTGAAGCCGGACGCTTAACCGACTGAGCCACCCAGGCGCCCCGTTTTTTCAACTAGTTTTAAACGTTGAAAGATGATTGACACGATGGTTCAAAAGCAATGGTACTCCCCTAGCAGCTTAACGGATATGGAATTAGAAGCCTAAGACACACACAAGTAACCACATTACAGGGTCTAATTTACTTAAAACACTAAGAACAGTATAAATACACACATCTGTCATAGTGAATACATACATCCTAAGGGCTATTGGTTAACATTTGGTATATCCTAAACCAAGAATCTACACCTTAGGGTGAGCTGTTGCTTAGCATTTAAAAGATCTTAATCAGAGATACACGCTGCAGCTACTGCAGGCCTTGAGCCACAACTACCTCAAGCAGCCCTAGAAGGTTCGTTAATTGGCAGAGTGATCTTACAAAGAGATGGGGTGATATTAGTGGTCTCCAAGACATGTAGTCTGGTTTAAGATGTGGTATAATCTCTCAGTCATCACATGAACAACAGTGTGAGCATCTGGCTAGGCTAGCAGCCTATACCCTTCCGAGTTCTAGAACTCCAGTTCTGTTCTGTCTAGGATCCTCTTTCTTTGGACAGTCAGACAAATCCTCTCACGAGAATACTGTCATCACAGTGCCTGAGGGACGGAGAGCTGGGACTTCACGGGACTACAGCACAAACTGGATGATTCTTTTTGTGTATATAGTGCAGAATTCAGTTATTTATTCAGTCAACCAATATTTATCAGACTCTACGATGCGCCATGCAATATTCCAGACACTTGGAATACAACCACAAACACAATAAGGATGTGACAAAGATTTAGGTCAGAGGCCTGCGTGATTGTAACGTACCTCCTCGTGCCAGGGTTGTGTGGGAGGATACTCACAGCTTGCACCCACCGCTGATCATTCGGGGTCACCAACACCTCCCTAAAGGTGCCCAATAGCCACAAATGGTCAAGTTAACTTAAGCTGGTTCACAAAAGCCACCACAAAGAAATGTTGACATGTGGAAATTACTCGTACTGAGATGGACAGGCCTCTATCTTCTCATAGATCTCCAAAGAGCTCTGGTCCTGGACAAGCTGGGAGCTGTTTGTCCCTGTCAGCATGCTTCCTGGAGCACCCACTGCCAACTCTGAAAACGGTCCTTTCATTTGCCTGTTCCTTCTGTGGTTCTTCTCCACATAGACAGCCATGAAGAAGGAGGGGGGGGTAGTTATAACATCATCTTTTCCAAATGTCAGACTGAGACAGATGCTAATGGTTTGAGTTGGTCCAAACACAAACCTTGCTGCTCGATCCCAACGAGGCCCTTTGTCAGAAGTGAAGTATAAGGTAATAATAGGATCAGAATCCTGACACTCTGCCCTAGGGCTCCCTTCAACACTAGCACTTTCCTCCTCGTGCTTCTATCCATTTTCTGTGACATCATTCTATTCTGTCCTCCTCTTCAGCTTTCCTTTATTCTGGTCCAAAACTTTCCTCCAGCACCTTTTTTTTGCAGCCTCTAGCACACTGCACTGCAAACCTTCAACACTCAACCACACCTACAGAGACTATCACTGTAACTCTTATCCCTTTTATTTCCAAATATATTGGATGACACTGAGTACTGCTTCCTATTGAGTCATCTGGTAGACTATTTACATGCTCTAAAGCATAGATGAGGCAGCCATAGAGAAAAAAGGTCAGTTGCGGGATGGGAATAGAATGAAGAAGGGATGGGAAGATCCTGTACAAGGAAGTAGCTACTATGGTAATTAGACTTTGGCTCTAGACTTCCCAGTCCTTACAGAAGGAAAGATAAAGTGAGAGCCAGTGAGTTCAGCAATACCATAAAAGATGAAAGTAGGGGGTTGGCAGGAAGGATAGGAGGAAAGGATAAACTTGTCTATTAAACCTTGGAAGGAGATATACCAATTTCCAGTCATTATTAAAGAAGAATCTATGGATGACACATTAGAATAGAGGGTCTACGGCCTAAAGGGCTCATAGGGCTCATCCAGTCTAACATCCCACACTTGCAAAGTAAAGCCCTAAGCAAAACCTCCCCACTCCCAAGATTTAACAAATAAACATATAGAACACCTAGTTAAATTCGAATATCAGGTAAACAACAAACATTATTTTTAGTATGAATAGGTCCCAAATATTGCATGGGATACCCTTATTCTAAAATATTATTTATCCTATATTTTATATATCTTCTATGGCAACCCTCCCTCCCTCCACAAAGGTTACTTGCTGCGTTAGTGACAGACGCAGAACTAGAATCTTGGCCTTCTGTCTTTCCGGTGGATGAGAATGACTGAGTGCTCTAGGAGTCCCTCACTACACCTGCAAGGTCACTGCTAATCCATTACCTCTGCTCGTAGATCCTTACACCGTCCCAAGTAACTTGATTTATCAAAAAGAAAACTTCCACTAATGGGGCTATTTACCTTTTTAATTATGACATATCCAGCGTTGGTATGGGGATCTGTGTCAATCCCCAGTCGCCCCTCACTGTCTCCCTGTATAATACGATACAGGATTTTAGAACTCCCAGTAAATGGCTCATCAGTGTCTGTGGCCCGGATGGTCAAGATGGTGGACCCAACGGCTGTGTCTTCAGCAAGAGTCAGGTTTCCATACTAACAACAACAAAAAAAAAAAAAATAGGAGAAGAAAACGAGAATGTCCTCTGTCATCAAGCACAATTGCCAAAGGGCAAATTTGTCTCTTTGGTTTCACAATGAACACACGTCATAGTTTGTATCAATACTTACCGAGCATGTTTTCCTACTGATAAATTTGGTGCAGTTGATTTTGACTTCATTCATACTTGTAGACTGATATCCATTGCACCAAGAAACAGGTCTCAGAGCTACTGGTAGGACTCTAAAATAGATTCCCCTTCCCACATCCAATATGTTTACTAACTGAAATTATTATACTAGTGATCATATAAATAAATAGCTACTATGTGTTGAGTACCTAAATTGTGGCAGGCACTTTACATACATTATTTTAGTTCATCTGTAATCCACCAAGGAATAGAGGGTAAGAGCCTGAACTTTGGAGTCAAACAGCCTGGGGATGAGTCCTAGGCTTGCCACTCAGGAGCCAGGTGACTGGAAGCAAGTCATCTAATTTCCTTACGTCTCAGGTGATCATCTGTCTAATGAAAATAATAGTAGGACCTACTTCCTGCTTGCTGTGGGGATTGAGAGAGATAAAGCATGTAAACCCCCTGAATGCCTGGCACATAAGTACTCAATAAAGATAAGCAATAAAACACTCCATTGAGTAGCTATATTATCATTTCCATTTGACAGAAAAACAAAAGATTGGAAGGGTAAACCCCACCCAAGAGCACACAGCTAGTGAGTCACAGAATTGGGACTCAAGCCCATGCTTGTCCAGTTCCAAAGCCTGTGTTCTTATTCACTGGCCTAGACCATCTCCACTGAAAATCCCCCGATCATCTCTCTCGGCATCATGATCTTAAAGATGGTAATAGGCAGGGCCCAGGAGGAGGACTGGGGCAATGACAGAAGCCCACTCACTCTCTCAAGAGCCCAGTTTGTATTTCCAACTCTCAAAGAAGGGTGTTCTTGTCCTCAGTGTGAAAGCACTGTCCAGATGGACCAGAAGGAAACCACAACACAAGGAAGGGCTCCTGGAGACTGAGAAGGAAGGGGTTCCTTACCCCATGCTTGTGTAGCCCCAGTGCCTGCTACACAAGTTATATTCAGTCACACCTCTTGCCGCCCCAAACCCTCTCATACATCAATTCCCTTTCTTTGTCACGGCCTTGTCCCTATTTTGATTTGTGATCATCATCGCAGGGCTCTGGACCGTCCCATAACTGACTTCAAACATGACCTAACAATCTAGTCAAATGGGCTTCCCTCTGCTCTAGAATAAAGAGAGACATCCCTTTTAAGGGAAGCAGTGGTAAAACCACCCCAAGTTTAAAGCCCAAATCAAAATATGTGAAATATTTTTCTTGACGTTCTCTACTGATCCTTTTTCTCCTGCTTTTTCTGACCAATTTTCGTAATTCTTGCAAATGTCTTAAGCACATCCTTCTTGAGCTTAACTGAGAGGTTAGTTTTTCTTCTCCTTTCTCTTACTCAATTATTGCAAAAGGAGTAGAAAGTGCCAATATTCCAAACATCAAATTTTTGACTCAAAATGCTGGTCTGAGACCATTTATTGTCACACAACATATAATGACAAATTGCAATTAGCCATTCAACTCCATTCCGTTTGACAAAGATTGTGGGTGCAGCTTTTAAGCAAGCCCTTGGAAGAAATGAGCCATTGGTAGAAGTTTATAATTCTGTTTATAAACGCTGTTATATACTATAACAGTGAATGCTATTGTTCCCTGAAGATTTCCACTGAAGATGGTGTCTGGGTTTGTTACCAGTTTGCCTAAAGCTACCTTTAAAGTCTGGGATTTTTCCTAACTACTTACAGTGTCTTTATCGCAGAAGTAAGGGTCAAGCAATATGAACAAAATAAAGAAAAAACAGCTGAAAACTACTCACATCTGATTTTTCAAAGATGGGGATCTGATCATTGATATCAATAACATTGATCTCCACGTGACAGAGGGTTTTGAAATCTGAAAGGCAAAGTCATATGACAATAATTTTTCGTTAGAAATCATGCATTAAAATTAGAAATCTGCAAGAAAAACATTGGCAAGGCAAGTGACAGCCACAGCCAGAATTCTGCTACTGACATGCAGTTTTTGTGGAAACAGAATTCTCTGCTCCCCACCTGTACCCACAAACAGGTCACCAAAAGGAGGCTGGAGAAAGCCCTGGAAGAAGTTCCTCTGGGCGCTCCAGGCACATGGAACACATGCCCCTTCCTCGGTAAGGCTTGTCCTGATCAAGGAAGTTTGGGTTTTTTTTCCTGTGAAGCAACCAACCTCTCTTTTCTAACTAGTGAAACTTTTGTAGCCTTCAAAGCCTAGTGCAAAACTATCTTTCCAGAAAGCCTTCCCTGAATAGCCCAGCTAGCTGTCTTTCCTTCTCTGAACACTTCCAGTACTTACCATCCTGCTTCTCTGTCCTCTATGGTGGGAAAGTCGGGTGCCTGTTCCCTTTCCTCCAAATGAGGGAGGAAGTGTTACAGTTAGCCCTCTTCAAAAAGCCTGGCTACCCAGCCTGTAGGAGGTGAGAGGGGGTCAGAGGTAGCTGACCCTTTGGAACCCTTTGGGAAATAACACAGGCTTTGGGGGTGGGTTTGACTATTCAAATATCTGGTCAGAGAGAGCAGGTTCAACCTAGGTCCAAGAGGGACACAGAATACAGATGGGAATGGGGTGCCCAGGGAAATATCCAGAGTGAGGAACAACGTAACAGTTTCTTTTCTGGGGTCCCCATGGTTCTAAGCCATGATATATTATGTTGTATAATGGCTAAGACTCAGGGCTCTGGAGTCCCACCGTTAAAATCTGACTCTGTCACTTACCAGATGTGTAAGAGCTTGGTGTGTGTCACTCAAGGACTCTGTGCCTCAGTTAGGTTTTCTATAAAATGTTGATAACTGGGCACCTGAGTGGCTCAGTCGGTTGAGCATCCAACTTTTGATTTTGGCTCAAGTCATGATCCCAGGGTTATGGGATCGAGCCACGTGTCAGGCTCTGCGCTGAGCGTGGAGGCTGCTTGGGATTCTCTCTCTTCCTCTGCCCCTCTCCCCCACTTGCACTAGAGAGCACTCTCTCTCTTAAATATAAATGAATGAATGAATGAATGAATGAATGAATGAATGAAATGTCAATAACAACAGAACTGAGGTTCTTATCCCAACACAAATCTTCAGCACTGTATCAGTGCTTTACCAGCATTACTCATTTCATCTTCAGGCTAATTTCATGACATAAGTACTATCATCATTCTCATTTAGTTCACGAATGAGGACACCACAGGATAGAAAAGCTAGATAAGCTAACTGAGGTCACACACTAACTAGTGGCTGAGCCAGGATGCAAATCCATGTGCTCCCTTTGCTCTCTCTGTCTGCTCTCCACCCTTCACCCTGCTCTGTGCCCTGGGAGGCTGACCTCAGAAACTAACTACATGGCAGACACCCTGGGTGCTGCCAATGGCAGCAGTGACAGGAGATGGGAGGAGGGGTGGGAGGACAGAAGTCGGGGGCAGTTCCCCTTTGCCAGCAGCCTCTCCTATAGGTACAAGTACAGGTCTTGCTCCTTCCGGGAATGTTCCCTTCCCTTGCCCCTTCGCACCCCGCCTCCGTCTCCGTGGAAGGCAGACCGTCTATTATGCTTCACACCTCCCATTGCTTTCCCTTAACCCTGCCTTCAACCTTTGCAAATAACCCCTTCTTTAAACTCTTCTTGGTTATTCCTTTTGAGGAACTGTTTGCTGCTAGGATCCTGACAAACACACTCAGGCATGAATGGTGTTCAAAGCACCGGACATGAGGCCAGGCTTGTGATCTAATAACATTCGAATTATAATGATGGATACTGATTAAAGTTGGGGTCAGTCCCTGGAATATTCGCAGACAACAAGAATAGCTAACATTGTGGTGAGGGGCGGGGCTGGTGCAGGGAGGATGGAGGAGGGGTGGTCTCAGGACCTGAACTTGCTGGCTCCTTGCTCTGCACAAACCTCAAGTTGGGCCAACAGTGAGCCAGGATTTTATGTAAAACTATGTTAATTAAGCCTAGTCTCTAGGCTAGAGTAGTGTACAATTGAATGTTTCATTCCAACAATACACATACACACGTATATATTTATGAATAAATATATTTCATGATCTGGTCCACATTTTCTATATAGATGTACTCACGAACATAGAGAATTTGTAATCTGATTTCCACCTTATGCCCTTGCAGCCTCAAATTGCTTCAGGTCTCAATGCATTTGCAGATGGAATTTCTTCTCCTCTATAAGCCCTGCACTATTTTATAACTTGTCATATTCATCCTTCAAAACTCAGTTCAATGAAACCCCTTCCTTTAGAAAGCCTTACCTGCCCTCTCCCTCCACTGAGTCACTCATTTCCTTCATGGGCTACCTTGTACATGTTTCTTGTAATTTATTTATTCACAGGTCCATCTCCTTTATCATGAAATGCTCCTTGAGGACAGACACGGGGTCTTATTCATCTATGTATCTTCAGTACCTTAAATGGTATCTTATGCAAGGTAAGCGCTCAATAACTATTTGCCAAAAGAACGGATGGCTAAAGGCGTGAAACTGTTAATTCATCACAGGAAGGGATGATTTATTATACTCACTTCTGTTGTACCTCTTAACATAATGCTAGACATATATCAGGCCCTCAATATTTGCCAAATTACTAACTTCCAAAAAGTCTGTAGTAGAGGCCTATTAAACCCTAATTCTCTTCAGTATATCAATATCCATATAAAGGGGGGAAGGTGAAGAGTGGTGTCAAATGATGCTCTCTTCTCCTCTGTGCCTATATGATCTATGACTCCTAGCTCAACAGTTACTGAACCATTGGTTGTGTGACATTCGGTGCTAGTTAACTCAAAGAAAGATTCTTAACCTAGGAGTGTGTGTGCCCCTCAAATAAATCTGGCTATGAATACATGTGTTTTTGTATGTCTCTGCACACTTGTCTGAAAATGTGTGCTTTTCTTAGAGAATGCACCGTTTTCATCAGAGTTTCAAAGGGTCCTGGGACCGACAAAGATTAAGAACCACTTGCTTTGAAATTGTACGGGAATAAGGAACAATGTCTCCTGGTGATGTCACACGGCCAACTGGAAGCTGAGAGAAAACAGAACTCCCCCAAGTGTATTGCTCCCCCACTTTCATACAATAGAGTCCTTGGAGTCTGAAAGGGAGAATAGAAAAATACAATTAACAGGCTGGTTCGTGATCACAGCAGCCATGAGAACGTGCCTTGCTGACTTCCAACAACAGGGAACTTAATTGACAATGGCCCCGCTGCTGTGCTTTGAAATCCATCAGTATGTTTGCACTGAGGCCTCACTTCCCATGGGCTGCCCCAACCAGTGACCGAGCAAGGCAGGCATGCCAAGGCAGGCATGTTCAAGGAGATCATAGACTCTTTTGATGGCTAACCTTGGACTCCTCAATGACCTTGGCCAACTTCTCATTTTTTCCTTTTTCTTTTCTTTTTTTTTTTTTTTTTACTCTTAATGCTCTACGGTACTCCCACCAGCCTTCTTTCCTTCTCTCCTCCATTCAAGGTTAGGTTTGTATTGTGGTCTAATGGTTCTGATGCCTGAACTGTATGTAACTCTGGCCTTTACCATGTTGGGCCAACTCCCGCTATGTTCCATGTGTGTTTTATAAAGGAAGGAAGAACTCTCAAATGGCATTCTGTAATACACCCAGGCATTAGAGCAGCTTAACAAATCGCAACTGGAAGGAAAACAGTATTTCACTTTTGACAGTGAACATGATACTAACCTTTGTCAGACACCTCTATTGTCAAATTGTACTGCGGAGTGACTTGCTTCTTCAAGGACTGCCCAGCCAACTGGACCACTCCCGAGTAGGTTTGGACCAGGAAGAGTCCTTCCTTGGGAAGTTTGGGAATTTGATCCACAATTTTGTATACTAAAACACTGTTGGCAGTATTTTCTTCATCCATGTCATGGCCAATAAAAGTCCCAATATTGCTACCTGTGGAGAAGGAATAAAGGGAATCCATCCATTACAGGCTCTATTTAATCTACTGTATTAAAAAGGGTTTCACTGGATAAGCAGTTTCCTAGAAAGTGCTGTAAATAACTTTGAGTAGCAGACTAAAGTTCTTAGATTTATTTGGTTCTTCTCACTCTTTCCATAGTGTAGTACATCGAGCAGTATATTAGTCTGACAGGGCCAGCATAACAAAGTACCACAGGTTGGATAGATTTAGCAACAGAACTTTATTTTCTCACAGTTTCTGAAGGCTAAAGATCTGAGATCAAGATGTTAGCAGGGTTGGCTGGTTCTAAGACTTCTCTCCTTGGTTTCCAGATGGCCGTCTTCCCATGTCCAGTCTTCACATGGCCAGTCCTCTGTACATGTCCGAGTCCAGATTTTCTCTTCTTAGAATGACACCATTCATTAAGACCCACACTAATGGAAGCATTTCAACTTAACTACCTCTTTAATGAACCTAGTTCTAAATAATATTTCTCCTTTGACATACTGAGGATTTCACCATATGCATTTTAGGGGGGACACAATTCAGCCCATAACAAATAGTGTCCTACAAAAATTCATGTCCACCTGAAACCTCAAATGTGACCTTATTTGGAAATAGAGTCTTTGCAGATGTAATTAGTTAAGGATCTTGAGATGAAATCATCCTGAATTTAGAGTAGACTAAATCCAGTGATTGCTGTTCTTATTAGAAGAAGAGAAGACAAAGACACACACAGAGGAGGTGGCCACGTGAAGGAGGAGGCAAATACTAGAGTGATGCCTTAAGCAGTCAAGGAATGCCAGGAACCAACAGAAGCTAGAAGAGGCAAGAAAGAATTCTCTCATGGCTGGCACCTTGATTTTAGACTTCTAGCCTCCAGAACTGTGAGAGAATACATTTCTGTTGTTTGAAGGCACCAACTTTGTGGTCATTTGTTATGGCCCCCCTTGGACACTAATAGACAAGACAAATGGTGTAACGAAACAAGGCTGAGCCAACTGTGGCTTGCTTCTAAGCAACTTTATGCATTGGTTGCAGAGACTGACCCCACCCCAAAGATAACACAGGGCAAAGAACAGGCACACATCCCCCACCTTGGTGCAGTTTATAGCCCCATGTATTTTATGCTGGTGAGTGTTTTGGTCCAGGGAGTTCCAGAAGTCAGAGGCTATGACTCACTGCTCCCTCTAGTTCTGAGTGAGTTCTAATAGGTTCTGGATCGTCTTGCTCTGTGAAACGAGAACTGTGGGTTTCTCAACATGCAGTAAAAGTTCCACCTTGGGGCTAAAATTTGAATACATCCCAGTTGTGGAGTTAAGTTTCACCCCTTCCCCAATCAATTTGCATCAACTGACTTACATGGAAATTTATAGATTTCTTTTTTTTTTGACAGGAGAGGTAGAGAAGTATGTATGTTTTGTCTATAATGGAACCAGACACATGTAGATGTGTCTCATGGGCTGGGGAGGGGGCATTATGATCTACAGGGCATAGGCAAATATTTATCTAATATGGAAGTAGCTGCTATTTCTGAGTCCATTATAACCAAGTCACCTTTGTGGCATACATCTGCCCTTAAAAATATGTGTGTTGGAATGAAAGAGTATCTTACTAAATTCTGTGATCCTTTGTCACAGGTCTGAGCAGCCCTGCCTTGGACCTTTCCTCTCAGCAAGTAAGTGTAACACAGAGGACACTGTTCTTCTCCCACCCCACAGGAAAATTCCAGCTGTCAGAGTCACAATGAGGACTATCAACATCAGTGACTGGGGAAATTCCAGCAGAGGATGCTACTTAGTGGGAGCAGAGAACGTTTTGGGTGGGCCAGAAGTAAAAGGAGGGCCATGTCTCTGAGTGACAAAGGCGAGGGGCAGGTGGCAGCCTGAATTGATTCAGAGGTATATACACCATCTCTTGGGACACTCAGAAATAGTTTAGGCAGGTGGGGCAGGGAGGTGGGCCTTTTACGAGAAACGAAATTTCCTGTATGAGCACATAGAACTTGGTAACGAGTGGGATTTCAGAATTAATATTGGCATTGCTAAAACTTAGGGACATGAGTCCTATGAGATTTTGGCTAATAAAAGACACTAAAGATACTAAATCTTTGTTTAGGCTAAATATAGAGAACAGACTCAATCTGTGCTGATTTAGAAGAATTCCTGGCCCATTACATCCACCATTTGAAACCTTGTGAAATATAGCTACAAAATAAATTCTCACCTTTAGAGAAGCAAATATCCCCTGGGCCCCTGAACAGTTTATTCTACCGACAGTGAGTTCTTCACCAGTCTCAGAAAGCTAGTACTATCCTCTTCCCAAAGGTAGGCAGCTTTTAAAATTGTTCCCAATGACCTCTCCCATATTAATGCCCTGGTGTAACCCCCACCTCTTGAATGTGGGTTGGGCCTAGTGACTCCCTTCTAATGAATGGAATATGGTAAAATGATGGATGTCACCTCAGGGATTAGATTATAAAAATACTGACTTTCATCTTGGTCACCATTTTTCAAGCTCTCACTGCTCCCCACACCCAAGCTTCTCCTCTGAATCAAAGGTACCCAACTGAGCTACACTCTGATTCCTGACTCACAGAAACTTTGATATAATAAATATTTGTTTGAAACTGTGAAGTTTGGGGGACATTTGTTATGTAGCAATAGACAACTAATACACTAAATGTTAAGCCCTAAACAAAAAAACTTGAGTGATCATCTGGAAAGTTCTTCAAAGATCCTCTACCTTCATTTAGCATCACAGACCAGAAATTTGGGAGGTTTTCAAAAAGGGTGATGCCACAAGTATTTCTTGGCTATTGTAATACATTTCGTTCTTACACAACTGTCACTGTTGGAAGATTCTTCCTTAAAATTAACTAAAAGCCTTCAAGCTGTCATTTAACCCTTCCTACTGCAGCAAGAATTAGAATAAATGAAAAAAAGAGGACCTGAGCAGAACACACAGACAATAGGTAACCTATATAGGACTCCTGACAGCAAGAAAAGAAAAAAACAAAACAAAACTATGAGCAGTGAGCAAATAAGCCACAGGAGCAGTACTCATCAAGCTGCCAGAACGGCACCCACTGTGCCAAAAATGTGTAGCAAGAAGAGTAGAGAGATCAAAAGAAAATGGTAAGAAGGTCCACAAGGTATAGGAGGGTCTGCTTACAAGGACAGCAAGGCCCTAGGAGTGGCAGTCTAATCTTGCACAAAACAACAGACAAAAACATTTCAAGAAATGCCAGCCTGTGGCACAAAAACAGACACTCAGATCAATGGAACAGAATAGAGAACCCAGAAATGGACCCGACCCACAAACTACATGGTCAACTAATCTTGACAGCAGAAAGAATAATGGATAAAGATGGTTCCTTCAGCAAATGGTGCTGGGAAACTGGAGAGCTTATTATTGTAAGAAAATGAACCTGGACCACTATCTTACACCATACACAAAAATAAACTCAAAATGGATGAAAGACCTAAACGTAAGACAAGAAGTCATCCAAATCCTCAAGAAGAAAGCAAGCAAAAACCTCTTTGACCTCAGCTGCAGCAACTTCTTACTCAACATTTCTCCAGAGGCAGGGAAACAAAAGCAAAAATGAACTATTGGGACTTCATCAAAATAAAAACCTTCTGCACAGCAAAGGAAACAATCAGCAAAATCAAAAGGCAACTGATGGAATGGGAGAAGATATTTGCAAACGACATATCGGATAAAGTGTTGGCACGCAAAATCTATACAGAACTTGTCAAACGCAACACCCAAAAACAAATAATCTAGTGAGGAAACGGGCAAAAGACATGAATAGACACTTCTCAAAGACACACACCAGATGGCCAAATCAATACATGAAAACTGCTCAACATCACTCATCACTTAGGAAATACAAATCAAAAACCACTCATGAGATACAACCCCACTCAAGTCAGAATGGCTAACATTAATCAACAATCAGGCAACAATAATACTTTATTTCAATAAATAAATTAAAAGAAAGTATCTTTTAGGAAATACAAATCAAAACTACGAGATACCACCTACATCTGTCAGAATGGCTATCATTAACAACTCAGGGCAACAACAGACTTGGCAGTACGGTGAAAGAGGATTCTTTTGTAATTCCTCGGTTGGTGGGAATGCAAACTGGTGTGCATGTCACTCTGGAAAACAGTGGAGGTTCCCTTCAAAATTGCAAACATAGAACTACCCGACCGAAGAAAGCACCGCACTCCATTAGGAAGGATCCAGAGGTGTGCTGTTTTATGGGATACATTGCAAAAAATTCAATGTTTATGGTAGCACTATCAACAATAGCTAAAAAGTATGGAAGAGTTCCAAATGTCCATTGATTATTTGAGGTTTTGGATAAAGAAGATGGAAGGACATATACAATGGAGTACACTACAATCAAAAAGAATGAACATTACACATACATTTGCAAAACTATGTGGATGAAACCAGAGGGTATTATGCCAAGGAAATTAGTCAGAGAAAGATGATATCATATGACTTCACCATAAGGAGACTTTAAGACACAGAACAGATGAAACAGGTATGGTAAGGGGGAGCAAAAATAATATAAAAACAGGGAGGACAAAAAACACAAGAACCCCTAAATATAGAGAACAAAACCGAGGTTACTTGAAGGTTGGGGGAGGCTGGATGGGTTGGGAAATGGGTGGGCGGAGCATATTGTTAAGGAATTCAATTGAAACTTAATAATATTGTTGCATTAGATGCCACCACTGAATGTGAAAAATAAAAATTAAAAAAATAGGGCAATAAAAGAGGAAGAAGAAGGAAGGAAGGAAGAAGGAAGGAAGAAGGAAGGAAGGAAGAAAGAAAGAAAGAAAGAAAGAAAGAAAGAAAGAAAGAAGAAAGAGGTTGTTCAACCACTGAATTAATACCATGGGGTAGACAAGACAGCTGTAAATCCAGGAAGTCCTGGGCAAACTCCTCAGAAATCAGGGGGCCCTGGGTGGTTCAGTCAAAGCTGGAAGACTAATCCAACTCTTGGTTTCAGCTCAGGTCATGATCTTGTGGTTTGTGAATTTGAGCTCCGCATTGGGTTCCATGCTAACAGCACAGAGCCTGCTTAGGATTCTCTCCCCCTCTTTCTCTGCCCCTCCCATGCATGTGCTCTTTCTCTTCCTCTCTAAAAATAAATAAAGCTAAAAAAAAGTCCCAGACATCATAATGTCCTCCTAGCAGTTGTCCTCTGTACAAAACCAAAGCCATCATTCAACACAGTGAAAAGAAACAAAGCAAATTGAGAACGAAAGGACAAAAATAGGTAGGACTTGAGCTTCATTTACCATCTTCCTGAACAATTATTTGATTCCTAGAGAGGGAGAATCAAGGGTCAAAAGCCAACTTGCATTCGTAGTGCTTACTTATTGTAAGGTATCTGACATTGGATGTAAATGATTATTTAAATCATTTAGCAAGTTTGACAAGATTTTATTGGATTGTCAGAAGGGCAAATAAGAATTGATGGGACAACCTTGTACATGAGATAACCTTATATATGTATACAGGATCCTGGCATCCATAAATGGTTATGATAATAGGGGTAGTTGGTAGTAGTAAATGGGTAGTAGTAGTAGCAATATAGTGGTGGTCGTAGTCATAAAAGCTCCAGTTTCAGAGCACCACCCACATACGTTTGAGCCAAAATACTGTACCTATGGGAGTCCAAAGTGTATTCAATCTCTGCGCTGTGTTGGACATGGACAACCGATCCCCGACCAGGCTTATCTGCCCACCCACCACCTGGTAGAGAGGAGAAAGGGCTTACAGAGGTAATATATGGTGGAGAGTTACACAGCTTCGAACAGCTCTCTTTTCTTACCTATATCTTCATTCTCCTGGACCTCAAATACGGTCACCGCAGATGGACATGTAGGTGGATTATCATTAATGTCTTTCACTTTTACACGAATTTCCACTGGGAAGGCAAGCGGTTTTCCCATCTCATCCTTTGCCACGGCATAAAAAACATACTACAACAGGAAGATCAGTGTTAAGACAGGACTCCTTCATCATCCCCTTTAAAAGGCAGAGGAAACAGCTTGGGTTTACCCCTTTATTTTCAATTTGCTTAGAGCTGGAAGACGAAGAAAAATGAAATGAGTTGGATCTGTGGGCGTGCTCTCATGTCTTTGAGAGAAATAATATACTGGGGTCCAGAACACGGTTTGGGGCTCTGGTTGTCGTTGTTTTTATGTAAAATCGATTCTGCATTTAGTTGTCTGTAGGCACTGGACTCCGTCTTGCTATCTGTGAAACTCCTCCCAGACTTACTCACCGAATCCTTTTCTTCACGGTCCAAGGGCTGAGTCACATAAATACCTCCTTCCTGGTCAATTGAAAATGGTAAAGTTGACAGCTTCTCCTTTTCAACTAAGGAGTATTGTGCACCTGGCTCATTCCACTGCACCTACAGGGCCCAGGGTGAATTGCGAGAAAAGATAGATCAGGACCAAGAGAACCGGAAAGGAATAAACAATTTTCCGGTTTTCAATTTGAAATTTCTGACGATCTTGTTTTTATGTCTGTGTTTTACTAGAACTACTTCATACTCAACCAAAATTAAGCCTTTTGTTTTCTTGTTTAACCAAGTTACATTGCTCAAAAAAAGCACACAGGGTGTTTTTCTTCTCTAAAGCAGGTCTTTGTGAATCTTTAAAGAATTTGTGGGTTGCTCCTTTGGAGGTCTGACCATGGAGACTTCATATCCATGAAACATTAGTTCAAGAAACAAAATGTACTTTGCAGCTGGTACTATCTGAGAACAAATCCATGACATAGGACAAGTTTCTGAAACTCAACAATGGCGATGATAAAAGCAATAGGAGACACTCTAAACTCTTCTCCATGCCATTATTTAAGTAAGACAAATAGTACATAAATAAAGCACATTCATCCCCTAAATATTTAGTCTTAGAGACTCCAAAGACAAGAATAACTGCCAAGTCCTAGTGTTGTTCGTAAACAACTTGGCAAAAAATAAACTGAATGGTAAGATCAGTCAACTTGCTAGAGACACAGCCTGGCCTCTCTGACATTCTAATACTTGTAATAACACCTACAGAGGATCTGCCACATGCCAGACACAATTCTAAACACTCTTATGTACGATTTCATTAAATTTTCAAAAAGTCCCATGAGGTGGAGAGGTAGAGACTATGATACCCATTTTATAAGTGAGGAAACCAGGGCACAATGTCTATGGCTATGAGAAATTTCTCTATGGCTATGAGAAATTTCCAGACTAAACTATTCTCTCAGACCAGCTTGGAAAGGGTATCAAGGAACCACCCTTGCCCCTTGTTAGCTATTTAAACACCACCCTCCTGTCAAGCCAAAGACCATGTTCTTGGTTCTAAGAGAGCTCCCCTTGTGTCCTAAAAATTCAGTCTGTCTTCTTTTCTCTTGAGCTGTTCCCTCTACTCTTCTTCCTGGGTCTCAAGACACCCAAAGCACTTTCCCCAGGCCTGGGAATTAGGTGCAGCACCTCGAATTTCTTTACATTGACAGCCCTGAGAACAAATAAACATGTGTGCTCTTTTTAGCATTTCTAAGTCCTTGTGGGGATAACCTACATAATAAATAAGACTTTAGTAAAGGCCCCAAGTCTGAAATTTGCATGGCTGTGAGTCCTGACACATTTTCTTAGCTGATAAAGCAGAATATCTCTTGCTTTCATTCTTTTTTTTCACCCCGAAGGTGAAGTTCATTAATTCAATATTTCAATAAATAAAAATCCTTTTAAGATTGACAATAGGTATGATGGGATGGGCCATTCCAGGACCCCTAACAACATCATTCAGAAAAATATCTTAGGGGAACTACAGACTGAGACTCATAATATTGAAACCTTTTATCCATGTTCACAAATACTGTTGCTGAATTACTCTTCACAACAACAAGAGAGGTATTATTATCCCCATTTTATTGAAGAGGAGCTGGGGCTCAGAGGGGTTAAATGGCTTATTCATGATCAGTCATGAAAATAATGGAGGAGGCATGTGGTTTTGGTTATCTGCTTCAAAATCTAGTGCTCTCTCACTAACCCACAGTTTTCACGTCAAGGAACCCCCTGATCTTACAGAAAATATCAGATCTGGGTGGACCTGAAGGTGGATTTCCAGGATCTAAGGTAGGAGGGGACCCAGGGTAAGAGCACCAACCACAGAGGTGGGAAGAGGGGGGACATTTGAATGAAGAGTAGAGGCACATATAGGAGATGGAGTCGCAGGAGGGTGGTCTCCAAGAGTACAGGTTGCCTACTTGACTCCTACTCTTGGCCAGTCCTGTGTCTGTCCCTCAGTCTATGATGGGATGAGTCTATTGGATAGAGATTTTCTCACAAGAATAAGAAGCAGTCTTTCAAAAATATTTGCAACTCCTATTCAAATCATGTATATTAGTAGTATCTACTTGGAAGGGAAGGTGAGTACAATTCTTTTTTAAAGCTTGTGTGTGTGTGTGTATGTGCGTGTATCTGAATCCAAGTTGGTAAAGTCCAGGGTTTACCCATGATAATAAACTAATAAACTCCAGAGACTCAGGGCCAGAGACTTTGTCTATTTAGTTTGTTTTATAATTATGCTACGTAAAAATGTACCCAATAAATATATCAGTGAAGACCATGACAGAGGGCCTCTACAAAGTGAGGCCATTTATCTCATTGTCTTGAGGGGTGCCTGGGTGGCTCAGTTGGTTGAGCATCCAACTTAGGCTCAAGTCATGACCTTGAAGTTTGTGGGTTCAAGCCCTGTGTCAGGCTCTGCACTGACAGCTCAAAGCCTGGAGCCTGCTTCAGATTCTGTGTCCATGTCTGTGTTTGTGTCCCTTGCTTGCGTGCTCTCTCTCTCTCCCTCTCTCCCTCTTCCCCTTTCCCTCTCAAAAATAAATAAATAAACTTAAAAAAAAGTTATCTCATAGTCTGGAGACATTCCTTGGGCACTACCTGAGTGATTTTGATGGGGTGAGGATCAGTTGAGTTTTCTACAATCTCCACAGGCTCTGGTGCTTTCCAAATATTCTCCTTCACCATAATGTTCACAGATGTGCTGTCACTGAAGGAATGATCATTCTGGCCTCCCATGTCCTTCACTGAGACCACCAGTCTGTAGGAAGGATTCTTAATGGGATCCAATTCCCGAGATCCTATGAGAAGTAGGAGAGAAGAGAAAAGGAAATGTCTCCAACGGTAACACAGATCTAGGTCCCTCTTCCTGACTCAGTCTTATGAGGGCATCATTTGACTTACCTTCTAGGGTAAGGGAAATTGCCCCTGTTTTGTTGTTGATCTGAAAGTACATGACATCATTGATCTTGGGAAGCTGGATGATAATTTCATAAATAAGCTGACCATTGGGAGTAGTTGGGTCATCCAGGTCTGTAGCATTGACATACATGAAGGGTTTTCCTGTTTAACAAAACATATCCAGAGAGGAAAAATATGTTAACTGAAATCCAAACCAACCATAGCCACTTTTATCTTCTAAGAGGCAGAGATAGGATGGGGGAAGGTGCCATAATTTATACCAGTGGGGAAATATATCTTTACTCTGCTTCCTTCCCCTAGGATGGGGTTTCTTGAAGTATGGTCCAGGGACTTGTAGGGGTCTTTGAGATTATTTTAGGTTTGATGGAGTCATGCACATGTAAAAGATCCAGTCAAGGACAAGATAATTTGATGGATTTTAGCATAAAGGAGTATCAAAAAAAAAGCTTTGGTATAGTTTCAGGTTTCACATTGTCACCAGCCTTTAAGAAACCACCACTTGTTGAGTTCTGGTGTAGTATCAAAGAATATCCACAGTTATCTGAGGATGCTATTACAATACTCCTCCCTTCTCCAACTGCATATCTGTGTGGGGCCAGTTTTTCTTCATATGCTTCAACTAAAACAGCCTATAGCAACAGAATGGGTGCAGAAAAGGACACAAGAATCCAACTGCTTTCAGTTAATTAATCCAGTTATTAAAAAGATGTGCAAAGATTAAAACAAAGCTATTCTTAATAATTCCTTTTGTCCTTAAAAATAGCTATTTTCATTAAAATATGTTTATTATTACTTACAGTGAGTTAATTTTTTAAATTCCTAATATGGTAAATACTGGTAATCAGTGATGTCCTAGAGCCAGCTCTTGAAAGCCAATGGTTGAATTTCCAGAAACTTTGTGAACCAATTATTAACACCACTGGTACCTTAAAATAAGCCATGTTGGGAGTATTGATACCACAGAAATTGGAAAATGTTACAAATCAGGGCTTCTCGCCTCAGAAAGATAGCTATTAAACATTTACCAGCACATCACTGGATATAATCCACATATTCAAAAGATTTTTGGAGTTGTTAATAATTTTTAAAAGAACACAGGAGCCCTGAGACCAAAAATTTTGGGAACCACTGATCTAGAAGAACCTATTGGTGAAGAGAGAAAGGGTAAGACTTAGAAGATTCTTGGGATGCCTGGGTGGCTCATTTGGTTAAGCGTCCGACTTTGGCTCAGGTCATGATCTCACAGTTTGTGGGTTCAAGCCCCGCGTCGGGCTCTGTGCTGACAGCTCAGAGCCTGGAGCCTGCTTCCGATTCTGTGTCTCCCTCTCTCTCTGTCCCTCCCCTGCTCATGCTCTGTCTCTCTCTGTCTCAAAAATAAATAAAACATTAAAAAAATTTTTTTTAATTAAAAAAAAAGAAGATTCTTATTTAGCAGAATTCATAAGTGAGTCTTTGGTTGTGGTCTCAGGGACAGAAAGTGAAATTGCTGCACATGATAAAGTGGAAGAAATGTTCTTCCTGAGTTACTAGAAGTGGCACTGAAGAAAGAGATACAAGATTAAGTAACACAGAGGGAAACTTGACATTGAGTTGGTGGAAATGGCCAAGAGTCTTTATGAAAACTCAGAAGTCTAATATTCACATTTGTTTTCTTCATATTCATATTATGATATAATGCTCCTTCATCTCCCCAAATCTTCAATAATGCCTTGATGAGGGGCTTTAACGTAAATGAAGGGTAGAAGCATAGTGAAGGGATGGACTATAAGCAGGAGTTGCAAGTAAGAGAAGAAAAAGAACTGGGAGCCAGTAGTGACCATAAGCGTGTAGATTTCTGGGAGAATGTAAGAGACTGAGCTCACTTCCCTAGAGTATTCTTGAGTGTCTTAGAGCTCTAAGGTATTCTTTTTTTATATAGTTTTTTGTTTGTTTGTTTGTTTGTTTGTTTGTTTGTTTGTTTTGAGAGAGAGACAGACAGAGAGCAAGTGGGGGAGGGGTAGACAGAAAGGGGCAGAGAGAGAGAGTCCCAAGCAGGCTCCTGCACTGCCAGTGCAGAACCTAACATGGGGCTTGAACCCACGAACCATGAACTCATGACCCGAGCCAAAACCAGGAGTCAGATGCTCAACCAACTGAGTCACCCAGGTGCTCCCAGCTCTAAGGTGTTCTAAAGCTCATTCTAGAATCATAGTTCTCAACTGGAGAGATTTTGTCCCCCAGGTGACATTTGGCAATGTCTGAAGGCATCTTTATTGTCACAGCTTGGGGAGAGGGGTTGCTAACAGCATCTGGTGAGTAGATGGCAGGGATGCTGCTAAACATCCTAACATGCACAGAACAGCCCCTGACAAAAAGAGAATTATCAGGTCCAAGATGTTAGTAGTGCCGAAGCTGAGAAATCATGTCTTAGAGCAATGGAGATAATAAACTAACTCCTAGATGACTGTTGTGAAATTTAAATATGACAGGAAGTGCTTAATGAGTGATAGCCGCAGCTGTTAGCCATACAAATCTGCTCCTTCTGCCTGGTATTCTTCTACCTTTCCATAAATATCTCCAGACTCCTGCCTTTTACCTGGACGAGAATTCTGTCTTACTGAGCCTTCATAGTTTGGCTGGAGAAATGTGGGTCGATTGTCATTGATGTCCTTCACTTCTATGGTGATGGGAACTGGGCCCTCCACTGTGGCTCCATAAGCATCCAGGGTGGAGACCTGATGTAGAAAGGAAAAGGAAACCACTGTGATGAGTCTGAACTTCATACACACACTCAAAAGTCAGTTGAAGGAAATTGGAGGTCAAAGATCCAATAGCCTTGTGACTATAGGGGTGAAAGACACCCATAAAAGCCCTATATTGGGAGGTAATAAAACAGGGACCCTATCAGTTAAATCTGGCTAATCATGACTTTGTTCTTCCAGCAGTAGGGTATACTGGACACTGGATGTGCTTCTTTTCTAAATAGTTGGAGTCAGTTAGATAAGAACACTTTGACCCTTAAGGCTGTGGAAGTGCCATGTCCTCTTACAGAGCGTTTTAGTGGTCAACCTGCAAAGCCAATAGAAGTTACCAGACAGGAAGCTTTTGCTTGTTCTTTTTTTTCCCTACAATTAGCTCTCTGCCATTCCCATGTATTCAGCTACAAACCATGAAAAACTAAGGAGGACAAAGAGGGAGAAGTTATCTTTAGTCATCCTTTGACCACTGGTTACTTCTGCTTCTTGCAAGGCCCACAGGAGGTCTGTCCTAGCACTGATGCTGCCTTCTCTGTGGATCCAGAACCCACACAACAACCAAAGGAAGATACCAGTGGAATATCAGAGAAGGGTTGGCTTGGTTTTGATCCAGGTACTTGAGCATGGCCATGCTTGGGCAAGCAATGCTTTCTGAGGGCCTTGGCAATTTAAATTGGGTTACTCTGGTTAAAAAGCCTGAAGAAAAGGGTATCTTTGCCATACCCAAAGGGGTATCCCTTTGTAGTTGGTAAAAAATTGACAAATGAGGTTTGCAAAGCATGACATTAATGTCAAGAGAGCCGTAACAGGATTCTGTGAAAGAAATGCAGGTGCCAGTGATTCTTCTAAGATAAAAGATGTTCAGAGAGGTTGGAGTTAGATTCCTTTGTCTGGTTTCAATTCACCTGGAGTTTGTGAACAGCTCTTATTTCTCTATCCAGGGCTTTGTTATGATACAAAAGTCCATCTGGTTGTATCTGAAATATGCCATCTGTCTCTCCAGTTAGTTTGAAAGTCACAGCAGGAGGACTGGCCTTAAACTGGGGAAGAAAGCAAAAATCAGATTAGGTTGTAAGGAAAAAACAATGTTGTAGAATTTGTAGAAAAGGTAACGTTTTCATTTGTACAATCACTAAATAAGATCTGAGCTTGTAAAGTGGTGCATTCTAAAAGTTTGCTCTGGGTGGCTCAGTTGGTTAGGCATCAAACTTGGGATCAAGTCATGATCTTGTGGTTCATGGGTTTGAGCCCCATGTTAGGTTCTGCGCTGAGAGCTCAGAGCCTAGAGCCTGCTTCCAATTCCGTGTCTCCCTCACTCTCTGTGCCTTCCTGGCTTACACTCTGTTTCTCTCTCTCTCTCTCTCAAAAATAAATAAACATTAAAATAAATAAATAAATAAATAAATAAATAAATAAATGTCCGCTTGAATATTAACTATTTATCTTTTAAAATACATTTCCTCAAGAAACAATGTATAATATAATTTAACACATTGATAAAAGCAAATTGATGCTTTAAATTGTGGCTGTAGTTAGATGAGATTTTTCTGAGAATATCTGAAAGCTATAACATTACCAGCTTCTTTTTTTTTTAAGTTTATTCATTTTTTTGAGAGGGAGAGAGAGCACAAGTGGGTAAGGGGCAGAGAGAGGGAGAGAGAGAAAATCCCAAGCAGACTTTTCACCACCAGTGCAGAGCCTGACACAGGACTCGAACCCACAAACTGTGAGATCATGACCTGAGCCAAAGTCAGACACTTAACCAACTGAGCCACCCAGGTGCCCTAACATTATCGGCTTCTAAATGGGTGATGGGCATTGAGGAGAGCACTTGTTGGGATGAGCACTGGGTGTTGTATGTAAGCGATGAACCACAGGAATCTACCCCCAAAATCAAGAGCACACTGCACACACTGTATGTTAGCCAATTTGGCGATAAATTATACTAAAAAAAGAAAAGAAACATTAAAAGGGATAACGTGATTTCTAAGATTAAAAAAAGATGTCATTTGGTTCTTCTAAACATTATGACAAAGGTTAAGAGACATTTTAATGTTAAGAAAGCAATTTAAAAGTGGCTTCAACTTGATAAATTTCTATATGACAATCTTAATTGATTTTTCAGAAGTGAAGAAAATATCAGTAATTATTCATGGAATAGTTATAGCACTTTTAGGACCACAAGAATAGAAATTTCATGGGATCCCTGGGTTGCTCAGTCAGTTAGGAGTCCAACTTTGGTTCAGGTCATGATCTTATGATTCATGGGTTTGAGCCCCATATCAGACTGTGCTGGCAGCTCAGAGCCTGGAGCCTGCTTCCGATTCTGTGTCTCCCTCTCTCTCTGCCCCTCCCATGCTCAGTGCATGCTCTGTCTCTCTCTGTCTCAAAAATAAATAAACATTTAAAAAAATAAATAAATAAAAATTTTTTTAAAGAATTAAATTAAAATTGAAAATTCACGTATAATATAATGGATTTCAAAGGAAAGCCAGAGTAGCCATATTTCATCAGACAAACTAGATATTAAAACAAAGCCTGTAAGAAGAGATGAAGTGTATTATGTCATAATTAAGGGGTCTATCCACCAAGAAGATCTAACAATTGTAAATATATATGACCCCGGGGCGCCTGGGTGGCGCAGTCGGTTGGGCGTCCAACTTCAGC